TAGTGAGGTTGGCCCAAGATCGGGCAGTGTTTCATTCTGCTGTGCATAAGGTCTCTATGAGTAGAGTCACTTAACAACAACATCTGCTGTGCATAAGGTCTCTATGAGTAGTATGTCACCTAACAACAACATCTGCCATCTCATACTAATACTAGAGTGTATGATCATAAAATTTCTCCCTTCTTGTTTATTTGGCAGGATATACATAACTGAATTCCAATTAAGCAAAAAGGCATTATATGAAGGGCTTCAAAAAACTCAAGTAAAAATTCCATCATCTTTTAACTCTATTTTCCATGAACTTTTTGAAGTCCCCTCACTACAAGCTCAATAAATCTTTGTATCTTAGTGTTTCTTAAAATTATCATATGAAATCATTATAAACTTCTGCCAAACTGTGAGTAAAGTATTCCACAGTTTCAGTGGGGCCATCATAATATATAATGTCATGAAGCAGAATTTTCTTACCTTGTTCTTCACTTCCTTCCTTACAAATACTAGAGCTCTGACCCAGACTTAAACTGATATCATCAGAAGTTTTAGCAGTGTCTGTATCTCCTACAAAGTTAAGAGAAAAAAGCAAGGCCATTATAGTAAAAGTAAAGCCCATATAATATGGCATAACCAAGAAAGGCTATAAAGGAGTTTGCAGATTCTATGAACTAAAGCAGTTTCTGTCTATTAAGGGTCATAATAATGGAAGACACACTGGACAATGAATAATCCCAGATCAGACCACATCACTATTCTCACAGTACTACAACCAAATATAATGGAAAGCTTCACAGCTAATAAGCCTATTTCTTCCAAGAGAAGTCGTTTAGTTAAAAAAAAGCAAATTATGTGATTTCCTTTCCAAGAAAAGCTAGTAAGTTAAAAAATTATAAGATAAAAATAACACAAATTTATCTAAAGTAGGTATACACAATAAAATGGGGGGAAAAAAACCTTGTGTTTTTGTTTTTGTTTTTGTTTTTTAAGTGTCTCATTAGCACCCATACTTAAATATTCTACATCGAACTAATTCTGTTTCTAAGAACCGCACCAAAACCCATGGAAATTATTTACCCTTAAAGCAAGGAAGTTTGTCATAGACCACAAACTGTAATTCATGCAAGGCAAGTGGTCAAATACTTTACTGAAACCTGATAATGAAAGGGGACCACAGTTTTAATCTTAATATAAGATTTATAATTTTATCTATTATTTCAAGAATGATATATTTCATTATATTTGAACAAAGGAAATTCAGTTACCTTTATTACACCCAAAAATGAAATAGAAAATCAGAGGCAACAATCTGTTTCACTTTTGAAATAGAAAGTTAGATCACATATACCTTTAATGGTTGCTGCTGTTCCAAGACGAGAGGAACCAGATCCAATCTGAAAACATGACACAAAGGAAATAAAATTAACAAAAATACATTAGCTATACAGACTAGCAAGATTTTCAAACAGAATCATCATATTATCTAAAAAGGTTGCCAGTCCTTCCCCCAGGTGCACTGGGCATGCTATATAATAATCACACAACAGGCTACCTGTGGCAGATATTTCTGTACATATATTTCAGATTTGTCGAGATCCTGACTCCTTCTGGATGCTCAGGACCGATGGATCAGCAGAGCAGCTGCCTCCAACTTAAAAGCAGCACGTGCTATCCAATTCGTATCATCAGGAGAACAAAGCCCTGGTAACATACTGGATTACAAGTTGGGTTGCTAACCAGAAGGTTAGTAGTTCAAATTTACCACTCACTCCTAGGGAGCAAGAGGAGGCGTTCTGTTCTCGTAAAGATTTATAGCCTCAGAAACCCTATACAAAGGAGCTCTGGTAGCGCAGTGGTTATAAATCGGGCTGTGAACCACAAGGTCAGCAGTTCGAAACTACCAGCTGCTCTATGGGAGAAAGATGAGGCTTTCTGCTCCCATAAAGATTTACAGCCTCGGAAACCCTGTACAGGGTCACTAGGAGTCAGAACCAATTCCATGGCACTTAACAACAACAAACCCTATACAGACAGGGTCACTAAGAGTCAGAACCGACCACCTCAATGGCACACAACCACCAACACTAATACTACATTGTCATGATGTGTTCAAATTATTGATGTTGTTGTTGTTATTGTTATTAAGAGCTGTCAAGTCAATTCCGACCTATAGCAACCCTGTATAGGGTTTCTTTCCAAGGAGCAGCCGGTAACTCTGAACTGCCACCTTGCAATTCAAACAGCTTTGCAGTCTGGCACATTAATCCACAGCACCACACTAGGCCTCGTTATGAACAAACATAAAACCATGTGTTGAGCCTGTTTAAGATAAACTTATACTTACTGGATATATTAGCATATGCTAAAAAGAGCAACCTAAATCTTATTTCCAAATTATTAGCGCTTCAAAATACACTTCTCTGAAATACACTTCCAGAAAAAAAGTAAATACTTTTTGCAGAAATATATAACAATTTAAAGTAAAAAAACTAAAGCATCTATAGAAAATGAACTTTTAACATTAATGTAAACTATAAATTAAAAACCAAAATCTGATTACAAGTCTTTTAGATGGTATAAAACTTCCTACAAGTTCAAAGACATCATTTATTATATCAACACAAAGATCATACATACAAAGAGCACAAATTCGATGAACACCTTGTTGTGTGCCATCAAGCTGGTTCTGGTTCATGCTGTTCTTGTCAAGTGTCATAGAGGTAGATCCAACTCACAGTGACCCTGTATAGGGTTTCCATGGAGCAGTTGGGTAAGTTTGAATGACCGACCTTGCAGTTCAAATCAACCTTGGTTGAGTGCTTATCCTATGGTACCACACCCTATATATAGTTTGGTAGGATGTAAATCTTTACAGGAGCAAAAAGCCTTGTCTTTCTCCCACAAAGCATGTGGTGGATTTGAACAGCTAACCCTGCAGTTATCAGTCTAACACATAACCCACTACACCAGTGTTCCTTATGAAACAAAGTATCACAACATGACAGTTTTAAAATTTTTAAATTTTAGCAACCGTTCCTATACTATTTTCAAGATTCAAGAAAAAAAAACAGTCTGGCAAATTGAGACTCAAGGTAAAATGTGAACCCCTCCCACGCCTCCCCAGAAGAGGTCAGAAGACAGGCCTTGGAAACCCATTGGAGAAATTCTACTCTGCACACATGGGGTTGCCTTGAGTCAGAACTAACTCCATGACAACTAACAGTAACAAAAGGATAAAATTAAGAGTAATCATATCATACGTAGTATTTTAGCAAATCTTGCCTTTCACTGATTCAATTTAACTGAAGCATACAACATATAATTGCTTAAAACATAGATTAGTATTGACTCACAAGGATCTTGAGGGATTTTTTTACCTGGATAATAATTACATGGTTGACTCCTGGTGTGGCACTGTGGGTTAATGCCCCAAACTGCAAAGCCATTTGAACTACAAGGTTGGCAGTTCAAGCTCACTAGCTGCTCCTTGGAAATGCTATGCTAGGGTCGTTATGGGTTGGAATCTACTCAACAGCACTTAACAACAACAATACACATTAGGCAAATCTGCTGCACAAGACCTTTTTAAAGTGTTGAAGAACAAAGATGTCAGCTTGAGGACTAAGGTGCAACTGACCCAATCCATGGAATTTTCAATAACCTCATATGCATGCAAAAGCTGGACAGTGAATACAGAAGACCATAGAGGAATTGATGCTATTGAGTTATGGTGTTGAAGGAGAATACTGAAAGTGCCATGGGCTGCCAAACGAACCAACTGAGGTATGCTGGAAGAAGTGCAGCCAGAGTGCTCCTTGGAGGCCAAGATGACCAAACTTTGTCTCTCATACTTCGGACATATTGTCAGAAGGGACCAGTCGCTGGAAAAGGATATCATGTTTGGTAGGGTGGAGGGTCAGAAAAAAAGAGAAAGACCCCCAACGAGATGGATTGGCCAGGTGGCAGCATTGATGGACTCAAGCATGGCAACAGTAGTGAGGGTGACCCAGGATCAGGCAGTGTTTTATTCTGCGGTGCATAGGGTCACTATCAGTTGGTACCAACTCGATGGCAGCTAATAACAACAACATACACATTCAAAAAGGTATTAAGCTTTGTAACATTTGAGCACTAAATTGCATATGTTATGTCAGTGACAAGGTAAGCAAAAATTTATATACACATGACATTTGAAACTACTAATAACCTTTAAAGTAGCCAATAAAAAATAAGCTTTGCAATATTTTCTGAACTGTTTATTAAACTTGGTTCTCCTACGCATTCCTCATTCTGTTTCCAATTAGCCAGTCAAAGAAAAAAGCCAAAGAGCATTTTATTCCAAAATAAAGTCTCATCCCTACCATACTTGCTACAGACAAGTTACAGAACTGATATACATTACTGTGACAAGAACGCAGCCGCCCATACAGAAACGTAAAGAAACACAGTACACAAAACAAGCACCAAGTGATCATCACTGAATCATGACCCCTCAAGAGTTCCCTTTTTCTCTTCTTCTCCAAGAAAACACCAAATGGTGGATGACACCAGTGCATCGGGAGGGCCCGGAGGTTCCAGGGGCCCGGGGGCGGGAGCCCTCGGCGGCTTCCGCGGAGGTTTCGGCAGTGGTCTGCGGGGCCAGGGTCACAGCTGTGGTGCTCGCGGCGGCAAAGCCGAGGTCAAGGAGTGGCTCCCTGTCACCAAGCTGGGTCATCTGGTCAAGGACATGAAGATCAAGTCCCTGGAGGAAATTTACCTTTTCTCCCTGCCAATCAAGGAGTCTGAAATCATTGACTTCTTTCTGAGAATGTCCCTCAAAGACGAGGTTTTGAAGATCATGCCTGTGCAGAAACAGACGTGCGCTGGCCAGTGGACCAGGTTAAAGGTGTTTATAGCGATTGGGGATTACAAGCCTAGGCATCAAGCGTTCCAAGAAGGTGGCCACAGTCATTCACAGGGTCATCAACTTGGCCAAGCAGTCCATCGTGCCCGTGCAGCGAGGCTACTGGGGGAACAAGATTGGCAAACCCCACACAGTTCCTTGCAAGGTGACTGGCCACTGCGGCTCTGTCCTCGTGCATCTCATCCCTGTGCCCAGAGACACTGGCATTGTAATCTCAGCCCCTGTGCCCAAGACGCTGCTGCTGATGGCTGGTATTGATGATTGTTACACCTCAGCCAGGGGCTACACTGCCACCCTGGGCAACTTTGCCAAAGCCAGCTTTGATGCCATCTCCAAGACCTACAGCTATCTCACTCCTAACCTCTGGAAAGAGACTGTGTCTCCCTACCAGGAGTTCACTGATCAACTTGTGAAGGCTCACACCAGAGTCTCCATGCAGAAGATCCAGGCTCCAGCCGTGGCAACCACATAAGAGGCTTTGATAAAAGAGAAATAAAAATGAATTCAGCCTAGGGGGGGAGGTGGGGGTGGGGAAACAGCTCCCTTTTTCTAACAGGCTTCCATTTTATTCACATATTGGGCATATGTCTTTTCATCTATTAGCAGTAGGCCCAATCCTTGATCTAGTGACGGGTATGTGACCTACTCTGGACAATGAATGCACAGGATCATCTGCTGGAAAAACTCAGGAAAGAGTATTTACATGTCTGAGAAGGAAATGCCTGGGGAGACTCTGTCTACCCTGCATCTCTGTGTACATATGACTTATCACCAATATTGACTGAAGTTGCTGTCCTCATCCCAAAACCCTACGCAAAAAGCTAAGAGAATGGTGGAAATGCCAATCCAAAGCTTCAGTAGTATAAATGCCATGTTGCTTTATAAATGCTACCCGGACCATTTCCACACTTGAATGATACACATAAACTCCCATATCTTAAAGTCTAAATTAGTTGAAATTCTGTTGCTTGCTAACAAAAGCATTTTTAGGGGACACAATGGATGACATAATTTTCTGTATTGTGTAAGTTTCACCCAACACACACCCTCACCCCAACAAATGAAGGCTCATGGCTAGGCATGAATAAGTATTCACATATGAAGTAGCAGGAGAATGCACAAATAAACTATCATTACTGTTGTTTCCAAGGAGTGGCTGGTGGGTTTGAAACACTTATTATCCTGAAGTACCACACCAGGATATACTTTATACACTATGTTGTTGTTAAATGCTGTCGAGTTGGCTCCGACTCCATATAATTTCCAAGGAGCAGTTGCTGAGTTTGAACTGTCAATCTGTGGTTCACAGGAGTCATATAAGCTACATATATAAAGTTGTTATTGTTGTTGCTCTCATGTGCGTGGAGTCACATATGACATTCCAACTCATAGCACCCTGTAAAGGATTTCTGAAGAGCAGCTGATGAGCTTGAACTGCCAACCCTGCTGTTCAAACCCAGTCCAGCTCATTAACCCACAGCGCCACACCAG